GAAAAGTCAAGAAAGTGGGAGTCCAGATCAGAAGATACAGACCTAATAAGCTCTCTGCAAGACAAATTAAGTGAGAGAGAAGAGATTATCAAGCAGCTGGCAGTAAGATTTTCTTTTATATGTACACATATATTTTGGAAACCGTTGGAAGGCTCTATTCAGTGTATCATGCATTGCTTCAGACTGATACTTTACTTGTGTTCTGGAATACTTTGACAAACATATGTTTCCATACCAACTTCCAACAAATAGATGTTTCCATACACATAACTTTCTTTCCCCTCAGGAAGGAAGAAAATTTCAGCATTCACTTTTAGCCAACACTGAATCTTACAGGAATCGATCATTTTCTTTCAACCCTAATACAGGATGTGTGACTCCTTCCATGAAGGTAAGATGGGCAATGCAATTAAAATCACAAAGTGTGATGGTTTATTGCTATTTGAATCATACACGTGACCAGGACAATAAAGGTCCTGTTAATTTTTTATGGTAATGTTACTCAGTAGAATTCTTTCCAGTAATCCAGCCTACAGTCAGGTGTTGAGTATAGTATAAATTCAGTAGCACATAGACACGGGGGTTTAAGCAAATATAAAACACTGAACTCCAAAGACGTCAGTCTTCCACTGGGATAAGCACAGCCATTGCTTGCAGATTTGGGAGCTGCTTGCAGATGTGGGAGTGGCTATTTGGGATACTGCATGCATCAAGGAAAAGTATGAATTGTGTTTGGGCTGCTCAGGATTTGCCCTTTGTCATTCCAGCCCCTCTGTATGATACTGTCTATAGAGAGTGATGGAAAGAAGGGAGGTCAAGTTGGTGGAAAGCACCTAACTGAAAAGCTATCAAAGCTATCACCTTTGAAGTATCTAAAACCTCAAGGTCAAACAGACCAGTTGTTTTAATTGGACTACTTAATCCATGGATCCTCACAGCATGCCCTCAGAATTTATTTTAAATGCATATAGAAAAAGATGAGAATCTGCATTTTTGGGTGCTTCTCCTAAGATATGTGGGAATGAGGTATTGTTGATGTTTTATAGTATGAAGTGTGGAAAAAATGCATGTGTAATGAAGTTTTCTGTTACAATAAAAAACAGAAGAAGAAAACAGTTGAGGTGCCCAGTCGTGTTGTCAGTGTTCCGAATTTAGCTTCCTACGCAAAGAGCTTTTTGAGCTGTGACTTGAGATCAAAAAGAAGTGCTCCTCAAATAACAAAATCTACAAGCTTAGACCGGAGTCCTGGCTGCCTCAGGGTGGGCTCTCCATCAGCACAGTCCTCAGACAGCAGTGCTGCCACAAGGTATTTGTCCATTCTGCAGTGACTTGTAAGATGATAAATGAATTGCTGTTCAGAATCTTGCAGGCAATTCAAACACATTAGACGTTTGGAAGTAAACAATGATGTAAGGTTCCTGCTGTGCAGTGAACTCCATGTGTTCAATTCTCTGCAGACAGACCCAGAACTTTACTGCAGAAGAACTTTACTGTCCAGCAGAGCTTATGCTTGCAAGCCCTCCTGGTACAAAAAAAGAGAGGAGTTGCAAGTATTTAAGAATGTAGTTAATAGAGAACATGGCTGTTTAGAACTTTGGGCAAATTTATGAGTTATTATTCTTCAAATTCATAAGTTATTATTTAAGCAATGTTTACTATTTTATAAACATGACTGAAGTATCTCTTAAAGAAATAGTTAAAAATGCATGTAGTTAACATTATGCGGTTACAATGATAAATATTTAAAAAACCCCAAACCTACAACTATACTTCAGGACAAAAGCCAGCCTTCTCACCTAGCTCCCAGTGGAGATTAGTTATCCTGTAAATGGTGTGCTAGAGAGTTCTTTCCTTGAAGGCAGATGGTGCTGACTGCTGCCAAAGGCAGTAACCCAGGACACGGGCTTGGGTCCAGCTTGGCAATTCCTACATCTGAAAGACAAAAGCATTCTGTGTGTCATGCCAGATGACTGCCAAGGCACATCAGATTCGTATTTTAAACGGAAACGTACGGAGAGACTGAGGGTAGCTTGGCTGCTACCTACGTACTCTTTTAAATCAGTCAGTCATGAGTGAAGTCATACTTGCCATTATAACCTAACTGAAATTAATATAAATGTTAAAAAAGCATCCTGATTGCTGAAAAATCAGGGTCTATGTAATAGGATTGATTATAAAAGCCAATTGATAGATAAATCTTTCAATTCCAACAAAACTTTTACCCAACATTTTTAATGCATAAATTGTATTTCATATTTTTAAAAGAATTGCAGCTGCCATTTTCTGATTTTCCACTTTGTATGCTTGAAACATCCTTTTTAGGTTTTGAAATTTCAAGAATTATGTTCAAACATTTCTTCATAGCCATTTAGCTCTCCTTCATGCTTTCCTTTGTGTTACCACCCGTGCTGTTAGCCCAGTTACCTGGCTAGCACAGATCCCACTAGAAATTGTAGCTGGCACCTTTTGGCCTTGTCCAGTTCGTGTGAGCACAGACTCGTTCATAGGATCATGAGTTTTTCCAGGAAAAAAAGTATTAAATATTGAAAGCTTGTAACTAAGTAAGTGATGCTAATGCTTATTTGTTTGCACAGGACGACACATGGCAATGAACAACCACAAACTAAAGATGACCAAAACCAAGACCCTCAGCATCAAGAATGGTTTACTAAATATTTTTCATTTTAAAGCAAACTGTTTCCATACTTCTCAGACCTACCAGAAAAGCTGTTCCTGTTTTCTTCTAGGGAATGATAATCCAATATTTAGGGGAAAAAAAAAAAGTAATTTCCAAGTAAATAATTAGGAACATCTAATAACTATGGAGTTATAGGCATGGATTTCAGAAAAATGCATTTTTTTATCAACCTCTGTAAAAAATAAAGAAAAAGCAGAATTCTGGATACTGTTACATGAAGAAACTTTTTAATCAAGAGACTGGACCACTCCACAATTATATTAAATATGCAATTTTAGTCTCCAATATGTCGTGTCAGTCTGGCTCCAGAAGGTTCTGAGATCTGAAAAAAGATCTTAACTTCTGTAGGTGACTTCTGTAGGTTTATACATTTACTTCATCAGCTGTTTAAAACAATTTCTGCATATAATAATGTAATTTTTAAAGTTTTTAATAGGTTTTTGTTAAAACTAATTTTAAGCTGTATAGCATGTGGTACTCCTCCAAGAACAGCACGTTTATAGCAGGCTGGTTTAGAAATACTTTCTGGTTTGCTTAATAAACTGTTTTGTATCGTCAGCATTGCAGTATAATATTCCTGTTGCACTTCAGTACGTGTATCAGCCTGGTAAATTAGGGTAATACGTATGAACATTAAAACTTGCTTGTACATCATCCATTTCTATGGTTTCCAAAGTAGTGCGATGTTATGCTGAAGTGTGTCAGACCGACACCGAGCTCCAGCCTGACGGGAGCTGCACGCTCGTTCATTTTGTCTCAGTACTGTCCTCACGCCCCCCTAAACGCAACATGGGCAAATGGCTGCCTTTACCAGGTCATGCTGGCTAACTTGTTACTGGGAGAGACACTCATGAGGAAATTAGCCCTCCGGTAATTCATCAACAGAGGCGAAAGGCAGGGGACTGTGCCACCAGCAGCCTCGCATTGACAGCAGGGTTAGTTCATCTTCAGCTGCTGTGTGGTTTGAATCCCCCGTTTAATTTCAGCCGGCAGGGCCCAGCGACGTAACGAGGAGGCACACCCCCCGCCTAGCCTCTTCCGTCAGCCAGCAAGAGCTGTACCGACAGATGCAAGCACATGGCACAGAACAGCCACTGCACCTCACGGGTGGGGAAAAGGTGGCACGAGAGGCAGAAACCTTCTACAGGCCACTACTTCAATCTCCGTGGTCGTCCAGTAGTTTTTTCAAGGTGAACTGCTTGGTTTGGAAGGAAACTTCGGCATCAGACTTGGCAAAAAGACACTTTTTAAACGTGTCATCAAGAAGGGAATAAAACGGTGTACAGTAGACAACACTGAGGAGTGCCTTGGTATCTGGGAGAGGATCAGAAATGTAGAGGGCAAAGTTTTTCATTAAGAGTTTTCATCCATTCTGCCCCAAAAACTTTTAAAGCACACTAGAAAGTTCAATACACACTAATTACTAATTCTAATTTCCAGGGTTACAATATTCTAATTAGTCCACTCTGTCCCCAGAAAGGTGTCCCTAGAAAGAGGCTTTCCTGGCTATCTGGACCAATTAAGCTTGTGGCCTAATACAGAGACAGAACTCCATTGCTATTTCTACCTCCAGAATCTTTTTTTGGCTACATTTAGATTACAAAATAGCACACCCCAGTGGAAGCTAATTCTGTAGACTGGACAGCGCCCACATCCACCACGAGTGGTGTTTATTTGGGGCACGCATTCTGGCCCATCTCTATACTAGCCTGACAGACAGCACCCCAGTGACACGGGCCTGCGTCACACACCCCACCAGGGGTATGCATTTTGCAGTTTCAGTTCATCCTGTAAGAATCAAATGTGTGTGTCCTGAGACCTCTTCATGAGGTAAGCAAGAGTCCAGAGGAGATGGACAACTCACTTCACAAAAAGTATGCCCTTGATCTGACCTGGATACAGACAGTTCTAAGGGTGCTCCTACAGCAGTACTTCCGGGTAATTACGGGATCACGGAACATTTAAACCTTCCAGTAAGACCAAAGAGCAATCTTCGGAAGCATCGTACCAGCAAAGAGATAATTAAGGGAGAGCTAGAACTGCCCCTTCTAGAAGGAACGGGGTGCATTCTGGAAAACCCACTTCTACCAGAAAGCATCCCGAATAGCAACTCTGCATATCTTCCACTGAAATATAAAACCAAACCACATTCTTGCAAACAAACAAAAAAAAAAAAAAAAGAAGATACTTTATTTTGCTTAATTGCCTTAACTATTTATATTTGTAGTACAAATTGCATTATACAAAAAGCATACAAGGTAAAAAGAACACCACTGCTTTGCATTGTGTGTAAAATAAAAGATCACGCTTGCTTCATGGGAGCGGGAATATTGGCAGATGCTTGCTCTAGGTAAGCTAACGGACCCTGAGGCATTTCTGCAGGCTTTTTGTGCTGTACACTGATATCTTCCAGGACCTGTTGCCAGTGTCGCAGTTTACCCAAATGCTTCTGAATTAATGCTTCTTTTCTCTGCAATTCATTTCTTAATTCCGAAACATCCTGTGGATGAAAAAATGCGCATTAGTAAATACAGTATTCATAAGAATAACCACCTCGCACGCCGAGCGTGTCATTTTTTTAGCCTGAGTTTTCAAGCTGATCTTACAGCGATTCTAGTAACAGGAAAGTGTCTAATGAAACAGAGGGAAAGCCCCAGGAATGCACTGGCGCTGTTCCCCTAGGTCACATATTTCAAAGATCATTACTTCCAGCAAAATTTGACTGACTAGTGTGTTTCTTCCAATGAAGCTACCATCTGTGGTCCAATACTCTGCTGAGCAGCAGGCATCCAGCTTCTCTAGGTTCACGGCGAGAGCCAAGTTAACCATCAAGTTCTACCAACTTAAGATTGAGCATCATGTTGAGAAACCCAACATTAATGCGAGCAAGGTGATTAACTGTACTGGTGCACTGCTCACCTGATCTAGCACAACACAGGTAAATTAATTTAAACGTACCTCTTTAATTACTTGCTCTGGTTTCTGGACTGATAGCTGCAGTCTTTTTTGTAGAAAAAAGCATTCAGTTTGTCTTGCAACATCCAGAAACTTCTGGATGCACTGATCAACACCTAAGCATAAAATAACAAAACAGAACAGATTCCAAAAAAAGAAGTTATTAGGCTGATACTGGTAGTTGTCTGCATGCTATTAAAAACACTTTTCACGGTAGTTTCTAGAAAGAAAGTCTTCAGATTTACTAAAATGACACATTTATAAAACCAGAATGTGCATTAAGTCTGTATAAAACGTTGCTTTGCAAACTTTCAGAACTTCTTTTAAAGGTGCAAGACAACAACTCTTTTCCCCAAGTGTTACTACATTTTTGACAAAAAGCGATAAAATAATTTGTGGAACTTAGCTGAATAAAGAAAACATTTCACCGCATGCCCAAGCAACAAGCTCAATGGAGGGTTCTAAAATATGGGTGAATTTAGGAGAATATTCTGCCGTCGTATATTATACGCACTACTATTTTGATAATAAAAGCTGTCCCATTCCAGTATATGACTAAATATCCAGAAAGGAGTTTTCAAAATAATTTATGCTGTTTTCAAAATGATGCTTGAGAGTCAAACCTCAAAAATGTTTCAGGGAAAACACACACTTCTGAACAGTAGTCAAGGGCCATTTTAACTTGTTTACACCAGTTCAGCATTAATTACACCTCCCACAGAAGCGCCTGTCACACAAGTCTTAAAGCACTGCAACTAAGCAATCTAGGCTTTCCTTTCCCACCTTTCATTATTGCTTCATACGGCTTCATAACACATCACCTCAGCTTCCTAGTGTTTGAATCACTTATTTCACCGCACGTTCACACAACCCCACACAACTCCAGCGGCCAGCTGGCACTCAGACCTTTCCACAAGGCCCCCATCGTGCCCGGGGGGGTCTCTTTCCGTGTGAGCCTCCCACGGCTGTGAACAGCGTCCCACCTGGGAAGGGGCGAGGAACCCAGGGTTACGCTAGAGTCAGCGTTCGAAGACCCTGAAACGGTTTTTAAGCCTCTTTTGGCCTCAAATGACAAAGCGCACAGACCCCCGGCGAAGCCCAAATGCATCTGCAAAGCTTCACAAGAAGTTTTGGGGGAAGTTAGCCACAGATTTGCAACCCCCGCCGTGCCCCTCCGCATTTCAGGCC